TTTTGTTTTGTATTAAAACTGAATAATATATAATTTTTATTATTATGTATTGATTTATAAATTATAATACATAATAGAAATTTGGAAAATAATATCAGATATAAAGATTGAGTGCTTTTGCTACTAAAATACATATATTTGGCCAACAGTGCCGTCATTGCCATCACTCCAATCGTATGGCTATAATTCATATCTAATCAATTGTTATACACAACGGATGTCTTTGTTATACAAAGAAATAGTTAAATAATTTACAATTAATTTAAAGTCGATTATTAACTCTCAATTGTATATACGTTTAATAAAAAATCTATTAAAATAATTAGCCGTAAATATCGGGAGAATATTTGACAAATGGTTTACTCAATGGCCGTATAATAAATTAGTTCAACAAAAGAACAAACAAACAAAAAATATGACAAAAATGCCTAATATTTTCAAATTATCATTAAATATATTCTTAATATAATGTAATAAAACTGGAAAAAGAGAGAAAATTCAAATAAAATTATAAACAGTTTTGCAGTTAAGAAAAACACGACAAAACATGACATTCAAATACAATTGCGATTTGCTCTCGAAATTCAAAATAAAAATATTCAGTGAAAATAAGTCGACGGTTTAGTCGTTGGTCGGGTTAGCGCCGCCGCCGTCCTCTTCGTCGTTCAAATGTGCGAATTTATTAGATGTTATGTAAGCCTTCAAACACACACATCAATCAATCATTACGACTATCAACGTTATTAGGAGTCGTTAGAGGACTGACCTGTTGTTTGCGTTCCTCCTCCTCACCGCTCGAAGTCTGCGACATTCGCGGCGGTCTGTCGTGCGAGTCATACCTATCCCTTCCATCTTTGTCTTTACGCCGATCCCTATTGTTATTGTTGTTGTAGTTATTACGAGCCGTTCCCTCGCGAGCGGGTCCGCTGTTCCCTCCCCTCCCGTCTCTGCCATACGATCGTTGCTCTCTATCGCGAGAGTTTGCCGGTCGAGAGTCACCTTCTCTACCGCTACCGCCTTCTTTGCGACTCATGACAGTATATTTTGGTCCGTTTTCATGGCTGTCACTGCCTTCGCGTTCACTCGACTTCCTTTGACGGCCTCCACCGCCGCCTCTGTTCTCGTCGTAATCGCGCGAATCCGAGCCCTTTCGTGACCGAGAATTGGCGCTAACATTACTGCTGGAACTAATACGTCGGGTCCGACTCTCGCGTTCACCACTACTTTCTAACTTTTTGTCCGAATCTTCTTTCTCTTTGAGGAGTTTCTTCTCGATCTCCTGTTCCCTAAGGGCTGTATTCACAGGCTTTGCGCCGCCGAATATCGCAGAATTCGCCACATTATCATTGCCTTCGGTTATGGGTTTCGTTCGCGGCTTTAATTGCAATCTCGGCCTCTCTGACGGTCGCGACGACTCCTCACGCGGGGGAGAAGTATTGCGTGACTCGTATTCGGAACCATCTCTTCTGTTTCGATCGAAATCTCTTCGACTGTCATTTCTTGTGCCCTCCGAAGACCTGTCGTCATAGCGTCGACCGCCATATCCGCGATCATTAGACTCGCCGTAACCGTCGCTCCTATCGTTTCGATTGCCATAACGATTGTTGGGTCGATCGGAGTCGCGGTCGTCGTGAGACCGATACGATCGGTCGTTGCGATCGTTTGAATAACTATTTCTTCCCTCATAGGGTGTAAAATGTCTCTCTCTATCAGTCGATTGATGAGTCGATCTGAACGATGAGTCGCCATCCGAGCGCCCGTCGCTGAAGTTTCGGCCAAAACCGGAACTCCGATCCGAATTGTAATCATTTCGTTGCGACCGTCTGTCCGGAAACGAGTCACTCATGCCGTTCCTGAAGCCATAGTTATCCCGATCTCGAGGGGCTTCGCGGGGATTATCTCGTGGGCTCTCCTCTTCTCGAGGAGCGGTTCTCCAGTCGCCGGCAGTCCTGTCCGTTCGTTCCTCCCGTTCGGGTCTGCCTTCTCGACCACCACTACTGCCGTCTTTAAAGCAAACAATTAGTAAATTCAATAACATTTAGAATAAGAGTGAGTCTAACCGGCATTATCTCCTGGAAGACCCACTTTCAGCTGTCGGTTGCGAAACATGTCTCCATTCTTCGCGAGCGCGTCAACCAATGATTCCCTGTTCTCAAACTCCGCGTAAGCAAAGCCTCGCTGTCGGCCATTATATAGCGGCAAACGGACGTCTATTATCTGTTCACACCATTAATATTATAGTTAAGACAAAGCGTATGATAAGAGCAACAAATGAATGGACAATACACTGAGTTTTCCGAAATATCTGGTGATCTCCTGATCGGTCACGTCGTACGGGAGGTTTCCTAAATAGGCTTTGAATGGCGGGTCAGACGGCACTCGAGTCATGTCAATGTCGGGTCCGCGCGTGGCTTTGGGCGCCGACGGCAGCAATACTTTGTTCGGCTCTTTCTTGTAATTCAGAGTGAATTTATCTAAATGTCAACAAAAACACAAACAATGGTCAACACATGTCATAAGTGGAGACAATCAATGGTGTCATACCATCCAACTCGAGGTCGTCGACCATATCGGCCCAATCGAGCTTAGGTTTGGTGGTGTGGACCACATTGTATCCCTGGGGCGCCGAAGAGTCCTCCGCCACAAACATAGACAGAGGCATT